GGCCCATACTACATGCCACATCTACCCGTACTCTCTACACGGATCATCCCAGATTCCCTAAGTAGCTGTTCAACCTTTTCAGCCGTCAATCTTATTACGCGTGCTCGCTCCCCAGCGAAATGCTCTACTCTGTCAGCGCACTCATCTGACCATGATCACCCTAGGTTCTCCCTAGGTCCTCACACTTCTCCACCATCAGCTGCTGAAGAATTCCTAATAATGCCAGTCATCTACCTCCTGAATATCGTCATATTCACTTAGTAGCTGACTCCCATCATCGAGAGTTTCACAAAGCACAAAGCAAGCAGCATTCGAGCATCGAATAAATACGTAGAACTCACTCTAGGTGATAACTCTACTTGCTCTGCTCATACTCAAAGATATCACCGAACTCTGCAACTCTACCCCTCGCAGGTATCTAGCTACTCTCTCGATTAGGCTCCACAATGCTCATCTAGGCATCTCTCCTAGATTACTCCTCTACTCAATCTCTCTACAAGGATCCCGCTGGATACTCTTACTCATCACATACTCGAAAACGCATCACAGATAACAACAACTCCTAAGCTAAGGCATCACAAATCATGCCACTCTAGTCCTAAAATATGAAATACCTAGCCTATCTCTAGCATGCATAACATCTCATAATATCTCATAACACATAAGGTAAGGGTATTTTGGGAAATCATCGTTCGGGCTCTGGCTGATTGTACACACTACTCTTTCTCGTTTTCTCTTAGGAACTCTTGCTCGTTTTAGAAAAAATCATTTATTGAAAATTTTTCCTCAATTCCTCAGTTTGAGTCCATATTTATTACCCGAGAAGGTGCATCCGAATCCCTCAAACCAAGGCTCTGGATACCAACTTGTAACACTGTAAATTTTCTAAACAAATTTTCTTTTGAAAAACATATGATTCTCAATACATATTTCATAAAACATCATTTGTTTAGTTTACAAAACACAATCCCTTCTTAATTACTTAATAATCCAGGATCCTCGAAACATAATTCTTTCACTGGTGTGTACAATCAAGCTGGTGCCGTCCCGAGATACTGAGAAAACCTGAAACACCTAACACATAACAACGGTAAGCACGAAGCTTAGTGAGTTCCCCAAAAACCACATATAACACATATTAGCCACTCGAGGCTTAAACTCTGTGGGCCTACTGGCCCTAACTCTGTGGACCCTCTGGTCCTAGCTCTGTGGACCTTCTGGTCCTAACTCTGTAAACTCTGGAATACACACAACATAAATCACATAGAATAATGCAGTGCAACACATCACATACATAGCATACAAGATACTCTGTCACATAACTCTAATTACCACTCAAGGTAAAGTATAGTGAGAAGACTCACCTGGGGGTAACTCGGTAAATCTCGAACTCGGTAATACTGGTCTAGCCTCCGCCTATCACATGGAACATTACTCTAATCAATACAACTCTCAAAGGCTAGACTAATCCCAATCTAAGTTCTCTCAGCAGGGTAAAAGACCATTTTACCCCTCTTATGGCTCAAAGATCCAATCATTGACTAAACCCTAAAAGTCAACAAAAATCAACCCTCCGGGTTACGCTGCACGGGGATTCGCCTAGTATATATATATATATATATCAATATATCTATATATATATATAATTATATATATATATTATATATATATATATATATATATAACCGCTTTTGTAATTTGTAGTTACGTGATTTTTGCTTGAAACAGCAGACCCCTTCAGTTCTTAACTAGGGGTATTTTAAATATTATTTATTTATATCATATATATTTTATTTTTAAGAAAATTGAAACTCAATTTCATCGAGCAATTCGCCGGTTCACCCATTCGTAATCAGAAAAGAAAACACTGCGCAGCTTTTCTCTCCTAGTTTTCTCGTCTAGTAATCCATTAATCAACATCGAGATCGCATAGCGTCTTGAAGCCTCGAAAGCTTGGAGCCTGCTGGCTGAATCGACATTGGAGGTTGTCGGCTGTCTGCTTGAATCAAATTGGAGGCTACGATCTTTTGAGTTCTCGATCTGCCGGTAATTCTTCTGAATTTCTTTAGTCTTTAATGTTTATATGCAAGTATCGGTATTTATGTTTGATTGTTTCCTGTTGAACAAATCAGCAGGCAAGTATGTATGTTTGCTATTTTCTGTTTCCTGTTGAACAAATCACTGAAATCACTCAATCAGTAGGCAAGTACAATGGTGTATTGTATGTTTGTTATTTTTACGTTTCCTTTAGAGCTGCATTTTACTTTAAGACAAGATTTAATTCATTCAACTGCCAAATGTTGGGCATAAGGCATTAGCTAATAATTTATCACAGTTCTATGTATAATTTATCGATGTAGTAGATGAATATATTCTTGATTTAGGGCATAAGGTATTAGCTAATAAGGGTTGCTGTTTTGTCTGATTATTCATTTGAAATATAAAGCTCACTTAATTTGGGTCGGGTTATGTTCCTTTGAGGTTGTTTAGAAAAAGTATCAAGTTCACAAATATTTAAGTCTGGTTTGCTTTCAATGTTGGAATTAATCTTTGGAGAATTGTTTATATAGACAACTCTTTACATATAGACTTAAGGTGATGGTTTATGGCCATACATTATGAATTTCTATGAGCCCTTTTTGCATCTTGACTGGACATGACCACACAAGCTTTGTAGGGTCATTTTTTATGATAAGAATGATGAGGGTATTTACGTCTTTTTGTGGCAAGGGCAATATAGTAATTTTCACATTTCATCATATTTTATGTCCTGTCCAGAAGAAGAAGAAATCCTATCCTCGACTTGTTGTTCATGTTATGAACATCCACACTCCTTTTTGCGCCTCTGGACCTCTCCACTCCAACCTCCCAGCCAGGTAGTTTCATTGTGGCATTTCATCGAGCACCTTGTCACCAATTTCTATGTGTTAACTGTTAACTATGTCTCTTACTAATTTCTTTTCATATTGGGTTTCCTTGTCCTGTATTACAGGAATAATAATGTTGTTGATGCCCAAAATTTTGCAATTGAAAGTCATAGGATAAGCTACTCAATCAACACAGAAAAGGGGAAGTCAATTCCAGTTCTAAAAGATTGTTCCCTGAAAATTCCTTCTGGACAATTCTGGATGCTGCTTGGACCTAATGGATGTGGCAAATCAACTCTTTTGAAGGTAGTGTCAAGATTATACACAGATATTGCAAATCTTGGGTTTTGTCACATAGAGTAATTTATGCTGTAAAAAATTATACACAGATCTTGGCAGGTTTACTATGTCCAACGGATGGTTTTGTACATGTGAAAAAACCTAGAAGTTTTGTCTTCCAAAACCCAGATCACCAAGTTAGTCTTTTTTTTTTTTCTTTCTTTATTCCATAATCGATTATCCTTCAATATGCTTACACTCAAGTTTCCTTATCTTTATCAAGAGTCATATGAGTAGTTTTGGGTTAAGGCTCTTTTCAACTGACTTAATCCAATAAGCAGCTGTATATGGGTGTTACTTACTTTTTGACACACTGAGAAAGAAGGGAGTTAATAGACTGTGTATTTTTGATAAGTATAAATTTATTTAGGTTGTGATGCCTACTGTAGAAGCAGATGTAGCCTTTGGCCTTGGAAGATTCAACCTGACTGATGAGGAAACAAAACTGAGAGTAGCAAAGGCATTGACTGCTGTGGGCATGTATGATTATCTGCAGGTATGTATGTATGTATGTATGTATGTATGTATGTATGTATGACTTATGGAAAGACAGAAATACCCCTTGAGAAGTTTGTAATTAATTATTACCTGGTTTTGTTTTGTTAGAGACCAGTTCAGACTCTTAGTGGGGGCCAGAAACAAAGGGTTGCAATTGCTGGTGCTTTGGTTGAAGAATGCAAAGTATTGTTGCTAGATGAACTCACAACATTCTTGGATCAATCTGATCAGGTATATATTTAAATATATATGACTAATTAATTCTTTTCAATTTTAACTTTTATGTTGAAGAATGCAAAGTATCGTTCAAACCTTTTTATTTATTTATTTATCTATATTTAATTTTTAAGGATTGAATTTTATCAGATTGGGGTGATTAAAGCTGTGAAGAACACATTGAATAGTTGTGGAGATGTGACTGCATTATGGGTAACACATCGATTGGAAGAAATGAAATATGCTGATGGAGCTGTGTATATGGAAGATGGGAGAGTTGTAATGCATGGTGAAGCATCAACTATAATGGATTCTATTGAAACTAGGAAAGCCTCTTATACAAAAGCTATTAACTCCTAACTCCTAAATACTATATATGTATGTAATGTAACATAGCATCACTATATAATGCACTTTCTGATTATCTAAGATAAATTATTATGATAGTTTTAAATTTAAAGTAATTAGTTTTTAAATCAACTTAATTTATATAAAACAGCTTTTTTCTTTAATTTTATATCAATGTTGCATAATCGTTTAATTTTTCTTGAAGTTCACACTTGTTATAGTAGTGCAACTTGTAAAAGTTTTGTGGCAATCGGTTGACTTTTGGCTATATTTTTAGAGAAATTAGATAATATGTAAAACTAGTTTTTAGTTGGGCGAACTTTTTAGAGAAATTAGACTCATGTATTATATGTCACTTTAATATAAAAATTCGATGGTATGCCTTAAATTTTTATGTTTTAATATATTTTTGGATGTTATAATCTGTTATACACATGAATTGCATTATATTATATTTGATTTTATGTGGACCATCTGTTATATTTCATATGCCGTCCATTGATTTCTTCGACCCATCGTTGCAATCAGTGTTGCCTGATCTACAATCCACTCGCCAAAAAAAGGCACAAAGTTAGGGTTTGGTGTGCATGAGACTGGTGAAAAGAAAAGGAGAGGTGGCTAGAGTTAAGTGGTCGTTTAAGAGTTAGAAACGATCTTCCCCTTCCCGGATCTCGTCAATGTTAGTCTCTAATGACGAAGATGCCTTAATCTCACCGCCCCTCTTCCAATTCCATGTCTCCACAACTCGTTTGTGCTAACCTTAGGTTAACCGGAAATACACATAAACAAGAGGTAGAACAGGAAAGGGACCAATATTGTTCGGAAGTTGTTCGTCTTCAACTGAGTCGTCTAAAGAAAATCACGTTCTCTTATTCTTATTTTCTCTCATCCTTCTCCATTAGATTCAAATTCAACTGATAAAAAAGAACACCATATAATCTTTATTGTTCAGTTTTAGGTTCGATTTTGGTTTTGGGTGGGATTTGAGGTATGATTCTGGTTGTAAATTTTGATTTGGTTCTATTTGCAGGTTTAGATTTGGTTTTGGTTGTAGCTTTTGTTTACAAGTTTTGATTTGGTTTTGGTTTCGTTTCACTTGATTGCCGAAATGGAGTAATGTGGTGACATGAGTGGACTTATGGTGGTTATCGGAGATGATAGTGATGGGCGAGTCGCCTGGTACATGAGCGTGGGATCCATTTGTTTTAAATAATATTTTTTTAATTAATATATAAGAAATAAATAATTAACACATTAAAAAAGAAATAAAAAGGGTAATACAATCTTTTTAGCTCTGAACAGGGACCAAAAACACAATAAAAATACATCTTAGGGACCGTCTATGTTAAGAAAAAGAACTAGGGACCAAATGAACAGACAGCCCCAAACCAGAAGGACTATTCGCGTAATTTTTATGTTTACGAAAATCGAAACACAATTTCATTGATCAATTCGCCGGTTCACCAATTCCATTCCTAATCAGAAAAGAAAACCCTGCGCAGCTTTTCTCTCCTAGCGTCTTGAAGCCTTGGAAGCTTGAAGCCTGTCGGCTGAATTGATATTGGAGGGTGGAGGGCAGGAGGCTGTCGGCTGTCGGCTAGAATCAGATTGGAGTCTACGATCTTCTGAGTTCTCGACCTACGGGTAATTCTTCTGAATTGTTTTAGTCTTTACATTTCTGAGTTCCTTACATTTTAGTCTTTACACTTCCAAGTGTGTATTTTTTCTGTTTGATTTTCCTGTTAAACAAATTAGCAAGCAAGTATGAATGTTTGATTGTTTGTTGTTTCCTGTTGAACAAATCAGTAGGCAAGTATTACTTTTGCTATTTGCTGTTTCCTGTTGAACAAATCACTGAAATCACTTAATCAGTAGCCAAGTACAAGTGTGTATGTTTGTTATTTTTACTTTTCCTCTACAGCTGCATTTTACTTTAAGTATAAGATTTAAGTCATTTAACTGAAAATTTTCATAGATTCAGTTGATTAGTTTTCAGTTTTAACGTTATATTTTGTTAATTTATTTGAACCTTATCGCAGTTCTTTGTATAATTTATCGATGTCTGAATATATTCTTGATTTAGGGCATTAGCTAATTAGGGTTGCTGTTTTGTTTGATTATTCGTTTGAAAATATAACCTCACGTAATTTGGGTTAGGTTATGTTCCTTCGAGGTTGTTTAATTAAAGTATCAAGTTCACAAATATTTAAGTCTGGTTTGCTTTCAATGTTAGAATTAATCTCTAGATAATTGTTTATATAGACAACCCTTTACATATAAACTTAAGGGAGGTGATGACCCTTTTTTTCTTAATGTTTGTAGATATCATCATCTCTTCCACATTTGTGATTCAGAAAATGCCCAAAAAGAGCTCATCTAAGACGCAAAAAGCAGGGCTACAAAACCCTGTTGTAGCCACATGGGAAAAGCCAAAAAAGCCTCCCAAAAATTCGCCTCTACCAAAGGAGAAAGTGCACTCTACACCAAAATCATTTGGGCAAGAAATCGAGGATATTTTCTCCAAAAAAAGAAAGAAACCGGAGCAACAAAAGAGCAAAAAAAGGGTTAAAGATGGAAAACATGATGAATCTTTGGACAGAAAGAAGCCAAGGAATAAATCTGGAGGGTCTAATGTGAAAATATTTGAAAACGAACAAACTGTTACACCAAAGAGGAAAACAGGAGATGGTCTAGTGATTTACTCGGAAGAGGAGTTGGGAATTGGTAAGGCGGATGCTGGGGGAACTCGACTTTGTCCTTTTGATTGCGATTGTTGTTTTTGATCTTTAAAGAATGTGAAAAATCTATAATGGAGGTTTTTTTATGTATTATTTTTCTTAGTTTTAAGACATTGGTGTCAATTTAACATACATTTTTTGAATCTCATATATCCTTTTTGCTTCTTTCTAGAGCTCGCAAATATTAACACAACCTGGTCTTGGTCTTGGTCTTGGTTTGAGATTTCCAATCTGTTTAATTAAACGGATCAACATTTTTAAATGGATTGATAATAGGGTTGAAATTTCTAATATCATGTCAACCTTTCAACCTTTCAATCTGTTTAAATCTGAATTTATTTAATTTTATGTTTTAGTTAATCTTTTGAAATTCACAGGTACAAAAAATACTCCGAAGTCTTAAATGTATTATTATTTGGGTGGTGCTGCTCACAAATGTGAAAGTCAAACCTAAAGTGAAAGGAATTGATATTGTTGAAAGTTAATAGTATTTAGAATGTAATTTGGTAGATCAAGTCGTATACAAGTGCCCAATACTTTCTTTAAAAGGATCTTTTCTTCTTGTTCAGATCCTACACAAAAATAATATTATGTATGAAAACCCAAAACATTTTGATACTGATAGGAACATCTATACACAACTTTTCGAATTTTACAAGTGTTTGTAAAATACAAAAAAAACATGAAATCATCCCGATAGGCAAATTTGTTCAAGAAGCAAACATTTTCCCTTATCTATTAAACTGGATAAATAAAAACAACCTGTTAAACAAACATGTTCAAGAAGCAAACCTTGCCTTAAGTATTAAACTATAGTTATAAGCAAACCTCAATTGAACAAGTGTCCACATAAACATCCCAGAGACCAAACCTGTTCATGAAACAAACATGTTCTCTGTGTCACTTCACATCTGCACACCTGTTCACAATATAGTGAAATAGAATTGCAATCAGAAATACGCATG